ATTCAATCATATATTCTTACTGTTTAAGAACTAGTAATGTAGTTTGTTTGTTGAACCGCTGTATCACCAGATAGTTTAGGTTTATGACCCCTGTCCGAACGGTTAACAAGTGAGTGTTTAAGTCAGTGAATCAATACCAGTTGAAAATGTCAAACTCGAACACATACAGTGTAGGACACAAGCGTAAATTTTAAAACAGTTCTACTTTTAGATTTTATAAAATACAAATTCAAAGTGTGTTTTACGACATATATATAGGACACACATAAGACGCCATAGGTTTATAAACAGCTACCTCTGCTCCATAGTTAAGATCAGATAGCCATAAAGGGTATGTAACAGGGAATTCTGGCAGCGAATCAACCAAAGGCCTATCGCCCAACAAACATACCAAAAGGAAACTGAGATGGATCGGACACATGTTAGGGAAACCGCTGATTGGCATTGCACGGCAGGCAGAACTTCGAGTGAAACCTCAATGGCAAGTGACAATTTGGGCATCCGAGGGTAACATGGAGGAGAGTAAGTGAGGAGGAGATGAAAGCCTATTGGTAGTTGTGGGGCCAACTAAAGAGGATGGCAGAGAACTGCATAAAATAGAGATATGCTGCTGAAACCCTTTGCTCTTCCTGGAACCCAAGGGAATACAAATAATACTAAGTAGTCACATATAGAGTTAAATAACAAAAATAATCGCACCTGTGTTTATGACATATGTGTACATATATGTAGATGAACTGACTGAACTGATCAATATCAAAATTCACGATTTCATGCTATTTATGTAATCGATGATGCATCAGTTTCCTAAACATATACACTAATGTGCATACACTTTAATTCTAAACACTGCATTAATAGCTTAAATCTATCAGAAAAAGGTGAAACACCTAATCATAACTGTTTTGCTGAAAATGGTCATTTCCTCCACATTAATTTTGAAATGGGTTTGATTAACTGGGAACACAGGTCAAGCAGAACTTATATCGGTTGATGTCAGTAAAAAATTTGAGCATTAAGGGTTAGATCAAATAAAGTATAATTATGTTTCAATAGTTTACACACAATTATAAGTTTTGTTATTGGTAATATTTCGAGCAAAATTACCAATAACAAAACTTGTGATTGTGTGTAAACTATTGAAATATTTTTTTATTCCTTTTACGTTCCCAGTGGCTTGAAGTTTCTGTAACAGTGTTTATTTTTACAGGATGGGGTTGCTAGCCTCATGCCCAACCTTTCCTCTTTACCACCTTTATTTGTGGCTTAGCCAGGTAAGGGAGTGCGTTGGCCGGCGCTCGAACCTCGAACCATGTGCATGGTAGGCGAGCGTCCTCACCGCCGTGCCATCGACGCACTAAACTATTGAAACATAATTATACTATATTATATCGGTTGTTTTATAATGCATAACACTAAGATGTGGATGAAACACAGTATCTTATCGCTCCTAATTTTGAAAACATTGTCCCTTTTTCGAGTAATTCCACTGACCAGCGAGAAGTAATCACTTGCATTTATTACCAACTCATGACTAATTTATGCATACAATCTAAAGTACTAGCAGATGTCATTGTTACCAGCATACAGGTTAATTCCCCGGACTTCAAACTATAATCTTTGGGGTTAAATTGTTAATAACCACTCAAAAATACATTCTTATTTTTAAAATACCAATTACTGATGATTAAACATACTTCCAAGTATTTTGCAGAGTACTTGTTGTTGGTAGGCATTTAATCAGTTTTATATGCGATAAGCTACGTCATTTGGTCTAAACGACTAAACGAAAATTTACCCAATATGAGGAGTTGCAACTAAACTACAAATATTAGTTAAATGATGAGTTTTCTAAATGACAAACTACACCTCCAACACGATGGAGGCGCTTATATTGTAGCATTTTATGTGATTTTCACTTCTAAATGATTAATAATAGTAGCCTATTTCCAATTTCTTTATTAATTGTTTTGACGTAACTTGTAAAATATCTTGAAGTGCTGTGTTCTATAAACCACATCTGTAAGTGTATCGACTAGTGATACTACATAATGACCTCAATTTTGATGAATAAATTAGACTTCCAGTACATGATTTTCTTTAATGACAGTTGGACGCATGGAAAATTAAACCACAGTCCTGCTTTAAATATTATTAATAGATGGAAACTAGAATAACGTGCTCTTCATAATTCCTTTGTACATTAGATAATTCTGGGGAGTTTTCGGAGACACATGATAAGTTCGAGTCGCATTAAAGACACCAATTTATGCATGCATATCCAGCTGTTTTGTTTAAGTAGGTCCAAAGTACTCAAGTTAGTAAGGTGCTTTAATTATTACGTTTTTTGTATTATTATTATATGCCTTAGACGCCTGTATACGCCATCACTCCTTAATTTATTTTATTTGATTCCTTTGCGTATCTAGTTGAATACAGCGCTTCAAGCTCCAGCTGTGAAGTTTCAGAAGCGGTGATTTTATTTCTACGAGATGGGGTTGTTAGCCTTACGCCCAACCTTCCCTATTTACTGTGTTTAGTACGAAGCAGTCAAGGTTTCGGGAGTGCATCAGTCGGGAGTCGAACCCCAGTCGCCGTTAGGTGTGCTCAGAGAGTATCCTACCACTTCACCACCGATACCCATCACTTTATATAGTAAATGATTTTTACTGAATTTCAGAATTGCAACACTTCAACTTGTCTCACTCCATGTAGTACACATGTAGAGAAAAGACAAGTAATCAAAGCACTTTAAATGAGCATACATGTAAGAGAAGAACGTGTGGATTTAATGGCTCTGACAGGTCACAAAGAGTGAATGAATCTGCGCCATTGAGAGGACGGTTTTGAGTCATATTACCAGTTGTCTCTAGATATTGGTTCTTAAAATCTCAAGCGCTCCAACAAGAAAGTCCCCACTTCCCTGCATGGTTGGCTCAAACCAGCTGTCAAAGACTTAGTGGAGTCGCGCCAGGTTTTGGTTAGACCACCCACAGCTCTTTTCCAATCTAATCCTATGTCAACCGACATTGCATGTCGAGGAGGGTTAGTGGCTTGACAAGCCTTATTCATCATGTCCTAGCTATCTCAACCGAAATAGCTCCACAACTGGATCGATTGATCGAACCCCGGACAGCGGTTATGACTCTCGCCGATCATGCACATGGTCTGAGGTTCGATCCCCTGCCGACGAACACCTGATATCTATGGTCGGCCTGCAAAATTTGGGCTGCCGATATCACATGCTGAAAAGTCCATACCTGTACCAAAAAATACAGTGTGGAATCAAGCTGTAATCAAAAAAAAAATATTCATATCATGAATACTAGTACTGGTCATCGTTATTTATTTATGTTATTATAAGTCAAAAAGCTGTAGACAGTTGTACCGTTTGGCATTTTGTTTTCATTTTTTTATCTTTTGAGTGAAAAATGGGCCTGCAAGCTTTTAAAGTTTAAATAGAGCTGGTGTTGCTTTCATGGCATGAAGTTGCCAGCATAACTCTTTATCAGTTTTAGTTCATTTCTGAACTTACTGTAAACTGAGTTTAGTTTAAGAGTGCATTCGGTGGAATCAAATCCAGTTCATGCGTGTAGTTGGCGAGGATCCTACCACTGAACTACCGACGCACAACCATTCAGTATACTCCAGTTCAACCACCATTAATATCCTACTTACACATTTTTTATCACTATCATCTTAATACACATGCGTCAAATATGTCTTTGTACGACCACTGAGACTGACTCACGACAGGTTAATTTCGGTAGCCGATGCAATTAATTCTTGTTCTTAAAGCGGCTGTATAGTTAGTCATCGATTTATTTAAGGGGAAATAAATTACACAACCCAAAAATACCGAAGTCTCTAACATATATTACAAGTAGATGTTTATTTTTAATTCACCTTTGCAAATTCTTATTTATTCTATTTGTGTGAGTACCGATGCTTCACACACATACACGAGATATTGTGATATAAACTATCATGAAATACGCACATACACTTAACCAATTTCAGCACCGATTCGTGGTTGGTGTTTCAAGAATTAATATAAACAAAATTAGTCAACTTTATTCTTAATAATATGAATAATAGTAGTTACAATATTATCACTACTACTATCATAACCACCATGATCATCAACATAATTCAGTCGGTAAGTTTGAGAAAAAACCACAACTCACTCAAGAGTATCGAAGTAACACACTACTGGCCATGCACGAGTGGCTCAGAAATCATCTTCACTTATTGGAAAAGTAGATGAGATTGATACTGTCATATCCTCTGTCAGTTAAGAGAGTCTAAATCTCTTATTTTCAATGGGTGTACAGAATCTGTGGAACTGCTTCTCTCTAAAGATGTCCTGACTGCCTTCATTATACACTTTTATGGAGATTGGACTCATTGGCATAATCACTAAACTTTTAGCCGATGGGACCAGGGCAATGGCATTATTACATACACAAAGGTCTAGAAACCTAGTAGTGTTGTAGTCCAAGATTAGGCCATATAACCTTTAACAGGCTACTGAACTAATTTTGTCCTTCCACTTAGTTTAATATCAACATTTATATACTTACATAATTGTCAATATGAATACATTAGTGATATCATTACATTGTTAAATTCCAAGCTGACATAATCACGCAGCAGTCAGTTTTACTACATCTCACATCTTCCCATGATTGTAATAAATCGGATAACAAGAAATAGAAATAATACAATCGAATCAGATACATTGAAATGCTACGAAAACGATGAAACACGTTTACAAGTGAGTTGCAGATTAGGTAAAAATACATCCTTTCCTCTCAAATCATTTAAAGTCTAATATCACCATATTCGGAAGCATCACGGACCCAAATCAGCTGGACAGTCTACCTCTCTCTGCAAAGCTAACACGTATAGCTAACAGTTTCGCAGAATGTTACCATGCCTTATACTGGCCTACACATGATAAGTTATGCTACATTTTTCTTTTATGTGTAACATTATAGGTCACTTGAGAAATGAATTAATGGAAACTGTGAACCAAGAACCATCAGAAAGCGATTCAAATTTACAAGATAAATCTATGATTCCTTCTCATTCCTTATCATCTGCTTCTTCTTCGTCACCAGTAAACGATTCTGTCTCTGACCATTCAATAAGCATTACTGATGAAATCAATGATAATGAAACTCAACAGCCATCGAAGATTCATTTTACCGATGATATGAAAGAAAATCATAGTAAGTAATTATTTCTTGGTATTTGACAAGTTAATTTATTTTGAAATTCTTAAAAGTAGCTTTATTCATCACATTTTGAATCACTGAGGACAGGACTTAATCCTTTCGTCCTTTTATAATTCGTTCCAACATTAAAAACACATACTTTTTCACATGGATGAACCTTGTTATGGTTATTGGGAAATTTTATTTTCCTGTTTGTTTCACTGGGCCTACATAAACAGTCTATGTTAGTATTCCGACTCTTATTATATGGTCTGCTGTGATTCCTTAGAATTCAGTTCGGCATTGTTAGATAGGTGAAAACAGATGTTTGAAGTGAGTGACGCTGCAGCATTAGTATGAAAGCCATTATACACTAGGATGAAAGTGCATCCATCTGATGACTCCCAAATAAGACTTGAATCTTAAATTGCATACCTAGCCACTACATATTAAAAATATTTCAGGGTCCTGTTGTATCTCTAACCTTTATGATGAACGTCTATATCGTTTAAAGTGTAAACACCCAATGTCAGTATATTTCAGTTTCAATGTTATCAACCTGTAGCCTACATTAACTTGTTCTGTTTTGTTGCACTTCCAACTAGGAGAGTTGGAAATTGTCATATACTTCTCTTTTAATTACTATCGACAAACTCACTCCACTTAGTCACTTCACAACGAAGCTACATACACTACGCAATTCATCTGACACGGAATATCTCTTTAAATGAGGTATTAATAAATCTTTGTAGTGTATTGTGTAAATACGTGTATAGGATAACGTCTTATAATGAGGAAATGGCTCCTCCTCTAACAACCAAGTTCACACATCTGTGCATAGTTTAATACGTATCGATTGGATACATAAAGATAAAAAAAAGATATCAGCTAATAGAAATTATACATGAGATAACCAAACTTTAAGGACAAGAAGAAAAAAGTACACAGCTCAATACCTGTACTATTTTCTTGTATATTTAATTATGTACTTCTTGAGATTTAGAATACCATTGTGGCTGATGCTGTTTGCGAAGAATTACATCTAAGTATGTAGGTAAGTAGATAAGTAGTTGGTAGTAGTGCTTAGACAACCTGAAAGGTCAGACAGTGATATTGAAATATGTTTACAACCAACAGCTATTTAAGCCCCTTATCGGTATATATATATATATATATACAGATAGAAAAAAATTCTGTGCAAATAAATTATACGTAATGAAGTTTACTGAAACATTGTGATTATTACTGATTAATCCATAAGGAAATAAATGTTAGTTGAAGAGATAAGCACATTAACTCGAAAAGCACCAAAAATATACATATTTTACATTAACTAGAGACAATGTGCTGTTCTCATCAATATGGATTATTACACAGTGAAATAACAAATCACAAAATATAGCATATATATATATATAAATATATATACTGGCAGAGTTGCTATATTTCAGGTTAGCATTACTTCACCTACTGTATTTCCCAGTAGCATACCACCACCAGAAGTCGTCGGCCGTCTTCACAAACCAATATATCCACAAAACCGGGGAACTGTAATAGCATGCATCACACAGTAGATAATACTTCTTCACAGACCGGGTAATGAACTCACTCGAATTCTCATTAGATATTCAGGAAATCAAAAGCTACTTCTAAGCAGTTAATTGGGAGTTATTTTACTGCAGATTCAACTGACTTCAGTGGAACAACGTTCTTTATGGTTCTGAACTCAATGGCCCAAGAATTCGTAGATGCGCACTAAAATCTTATTATTAGAAGGAAGGCTACCAAATATTCTTGACTTCATTATATATTTTTCTTATTTCGCATACCTTTCTTTTCTCACTACGATTTCCCGTTTAATAAATTTAGTCTTCAATAGTTCATATTATTGTGTGCAGATATTGATGCTTTCTCGTTGCTGGTTTAAATGAAATTCATGCTTCCAACTGATATCATGCTTCCAAGAAGTCTTTTACAAATTTTGGGATTTTATAATTTCTCCAGTGGAACTAGAAACCATAATTTGTATCATGATATAGCACTTCTATCATTTAATGAAGCGATTCTTGCATATGATGCATTTATGCGATAAAAAAGTACTTGCTTTTTCATACTAATATCATAGAACTTATTTTCTGTATACCTTCAGACTGAAGTCTACGAAACACAAATTATTATATTGATAACGCTTGTGTTTTGATTAATTATGTTATAGGAATGAAGGAAAATCTTTTGAATAAAGTCTCTGATTATCAATGCTTATATTCAGAAGTCATAATAATAATAATAAGGCGTGTATTTAAGTGACAAGCGGTTTCTAGAACCTTATTTCTGGAACCAAAAACAACAGGGGATACATTACGTGATTACACTTAAGGAGAACTAACTGAACAAAGGGTAGAAAGTAAACATAGACTTTTAAAATAGTTTTCTTTTCCAATTACTAAGCAATGTCGATGAAGATCTATTTAAGAAACATGACACAATAAAATGTTTCTTTCAAGCTAAAGATTCCTCATTTGTCTCTTGAATGATGGATAATTATTTATGCTCTGAAAATGAAAAAAACTCAGACATCTACTAATACTACTTACAATTCTTCAGTAGTTAGATTTCCAAAGTAGTGTAGTATCACGATAGTGTAACGTCGGGAATGTTTGTCCTCAATGTTTTATTGGCAAAATCATCAGTAAGCCATTAAGACTACACGATAAGCGCCATATAGGCTTGTCCTGGTAGAGTAGGCCGTAACCACTATTATTACTGGTTATTCTTCTAACATGTCTTCCGAGTTGTTTCTCATTGGTTGACAGAAAGGATTTATATGCTTGCTACCTAGATATTCTTTCCAATGACCAATGTATTCATAACATTCCTTAATAGAGATAACAAGTTTTTCGAGTCCTTTTGTGGTGCTTATTGAAATTCTGAACATATTTTTCTAAAGTTCGTTGACATACAATTCGTTGATTAACCTGCGTGAAATCGCGACTTTGAGAAAAGCATTTTCTCTCCCCACAACAACTTCAGAATGTTGAAAAAATCAATTCATGTCACGGTAACCTCACCTTCTGTTATTTATGTCAAAGGATCAATAATCCGTGTACAGTAATAAACTCATGTAATCATTCAAATTGAATACACAACTCGATCGCATACACTTCTACTAACAGTTATACTGAATAAGTTTATTATTAAGTTATGTAACTTACAAACTCTTTAACCTTGTTTGAAAAGTTTTCTACAATAATGCATATAACAATGTACCGAAATGGAGTTATTTCCTTAAAAAATACACAATATGCCTTGTTGACGACAACTAAAATATGAGAAGAGTGACTAAAACTGGACATATATACTACCATCGTGTTATATCTGACACACAAGTCACACTTCACGCCGTATCGACAGTCTTCTACTTGCCTTTACGTTTTGAGCACCACTAGTGATTACTACCTGTTGATCAGTTTATGTGAGCAACTCAGTCTGACAGACTCAATAGTCTAGTGATGAAATAAATCTCTAGTTTTGCTGCTGACTACAGCAGTCTTCAGTTTCTGATAAATTTTTTCCTTAAGAGTTACTGCTAATTATCAATAAGCACAAAAGCTGGGTACAAAGTTCGCTGCCAACAGACTGTGAGTATGTAATATCTCTGTTATTAGTCAACACACGAATTCCCATACTTATTTTACGTTCAAGTTTTGAAAATATTTGGACTTATTTTTATGACATTGTGTAAGCTTAAGATAAGGTACCGCATCCTATGAATAGAATTCAACTGCATTTCACGATTTAGTCATTACTTAAATAATGATAGACGTTTGAGAGAACTTTGATATCATCCAATCTCCTTTAAAAAAAGATGTATATACTACACAATGAATAAAATCAATCAGTGTAGTAACGAGTGGTGTTTATACCAACTAAATAATGTTTAGGTAAGTGGTAATAAAAAGTCAACTATACGAAATTACTAATTAGTGCACTTGTAAGCAATTCAGTCCAGTAAATGCAGGCAAATTTTCCGAGCTTAAATAACTTCAAGCACCATTCACCCTCTTCCTGAGCTACAAATATGCTTTATTATTTTAAAGGCATCCATATGTACAGTAGATTACCAAATTTCTATTAATGTTAACATTACAGTATCTTCCGTCCCCATGTTACAAACACACTACTGAAATAAAAAGAGAATACACCGTGAAAGCATATCTTGTTCAAGTGCAAAGCTTTTTCTGGAGCATTCTTTGCATGCACTTTTTTCCCTGCATGCTTCCAAACGAATTAACTTTAATTTACTACGTACTACGACAGAAACCTTTATCGAGAATATGTAGTTTATGGTCACCATTTTGTAAGTCTAGTCATCCTAGTCATATCCTCCCACATCCTCTATACTTATACTGAATACGGTGATAAGGATAATGAAAGTGGTGTTCCTTAGTGTGCTGTTCTCTTTCCTTTTCTTTTTTCCTATACGAATTACCTCTTCATAATGAAATCAACTACATCACATACACTGATGATCTGACCGTCTCGCTTCCTGTTAAATCCCTATCAGACTGTTGCAAACTTAATAGCTTGATCTTACGTTAAATCCCTCAGAATGCCGGACTATTGACTTCTCATTTAGATACAAACGTGATCTACAACGACTGGTTAGTAAACTCAATGCTTGTAGCATAGAGGGGACTGTAAAAGTAACTAAGTCTATCACAAAATACCTTGGCATAGTTCTATCCTCTGACATTACTTGGTCATCCTATATTTCATCAATCTCCAAGAAAATGACTCCATTATGGATAAGATTTAATTTTGATAAATCACACAGTGCTGTACAGTAATATTAACTGATGACGTTTCGAGCACAAACTATTGCTCATAATCATATCAAGAAAATGTTCCGTCTAAGCTACTGCATTAAGAAGCTGTTATGTACTCGTCGAGTAGTTAGTCAGTCCTGACGCGGAAGGGGTAAAATCAGAAGGCCACCACGTTCACGATGATACGTATATTTTCCAACAAGGGAAATTGACTGCCACACAAGTGTGTGAGTGAAAGGGTATGTAGTGTAAGAAAGGTGTGAACAAGCGTGTATCAAAGTGTACAATACAAAAGTATATGCGAAAATGACTAATATACATGAACCAATAAGATGGACATCTTACCACGATTGGATACTGATTGGTTGTAATGTCATGTGTTTAAAAGGTCATACATTGTTTATTTAGTTAATGGACAGACAAAGCATATTGTCAGTTATACTGGAATATCGATCAATATGCACATAGCAAAATATATCAGACTGTCAAAAACAAAACACACATCATGTGACTGCATATCAGAAGCTAAAACACTGTGGAATCACTCAACCTCTGCTTTTACAATTTGTCAACTCCTGTATCTTACCTATTGTAATTTGCCGCCGCCTCCCTTTAGTCTTTCCTGAAAAAAGGACTAGGTCATTTTGAGGAGGGTATTAAAGATTGTCAGTAGGGCAAGTGGTGTGCAACTTAGTCAGCTTGTCGCTAAATTGGTTGATAGACATCTGAACTCATGGCCTAAATCTATTTTTTCTGACTCTCAACCCCCCCCATTTCTATTCTCAACTCTCCCCTTGCATCTCATCTGGTAGAACTAGAAGTCAGTACAAAAGATTATATGGTCGTACGACCAAGTATAGGAACTCAACCATACCTTATTTGGCAGTATTCTATGCCATAGAGAAAATGTAAAGCATGATACTAATGAATTACTATAATGTTAGCAAAATAATTGGCTCTTTTATTACCTCTTATTTGTTATCTATGGTGACACTATCTCAAATAACGGACAATCTTGGCTACTAACTTTATTATTATTATTATTTACAATTTATATATATATATATATATATATATATATATATATATATATATATATATATATATATATATATATATATATATATATATAAAGAAATGCCATTAACAATACTGTAATATTATTCCTAAAACTGCGTTTAATGTTGTTCGATAAAATTAGATACAATATTCTACCAAATACTGAAAATTCCACACTGTAACATCAGTATCGTTTTGATATAACGCTTATTATTATTATTATTAAAACGTTACACTTACGGCGAATACCAGCCGTCAAACCTAAAAGTTACAAATTAGGATATTCGCTGTACTTTCGAGTAATTAGTAAGCAACTATTTAAGCATAAATCAGGCACTTAATCTGTATCAACGAACTAGCGGCATGAGGTTTATTTTAACCTTAAGAATTAGTCTTTGGGAATTTATAATTTTGAATGTATCATGTAGCTATTAGTGAATTCTCATAGCATATTCGTCAGCTGGATGTATCTACACAATCGTCTAAGTGGGTGAGTTCTCATAAAATTTCAAAGTAAACATTCGCCACTTCACACATTAAAATGTTTTCTTATAATCTGGAAGCTACAAAAACCAACTCCCGTGCTCAATGCATTGTTGATTTTTGTTATTCTTCTATTACTGCATATTCTTGTTGTTCATTTTTCTGAGACGAGCTGGTCAGTGTATCTTGGGCCCGTGCAGCTTGGTCGAGTGCTTCGATGATGATCAGTCAAACTATCCTATAAAAATCCCGTCAATGAGCGGGAGTATTCCACTGGATATTCAACACAATTTTTCAAGAGATTTATCTCTCTTTATTCTTGTGTCCAAATGTTTCTAAAATCCGCTTCTTAAAGACTATTTTAAGAATTTCTTCTTTTCTTTCTCCTCGTGTCAACAGGCATCCCAGCTGAAAGTAAACTGAATTTAAACCAGACGACAGATAGACTAAAAGACTACATAGAAGAAATTAATTGTAAAAGTGGTATTATTACTTCAGTCAGCACTCACCGTCAACCATATGCAGGTGAAAACTTTGAAAACCTCACTTTAAGCGAACTGAGTCATTTCAAATCAACATTAGCTTGTTGGAATCGTCTACCGGAATCACCGTGTATTCGACAACCTCAACCAGACGCAATAAGTATTTATAAATTATTAGAACGGCAAATTGTGAAAACATCTTCCGATAGAGGTCGACTGCGTAAATATCTTGGGAATTTTACACAAACACCAGAAGGAATACCATTTCTAAATTTATTCACTGAACACTTGGAATTGCTTAAACTTACACCTGAAGAATGTATCAGTACACCATATTGTTTACGCGTGAAAAGTGGGAAAAATGATGACGATGACAACAGTAACAATAGCTATCACTATTTAATGCCAGCATTCTACCGTTTATTAACATGGCTTATAGACTCCAATCGTCAATTTGCTATATTCATACGCACCTATGGTAAAGATGGTGAACATATTCTGTCTGCTGTTGAAGCCTATGTTAATGGTGAACATCCACAAGAGAAACCACCAGTAAACGCTAAATACTTATTACCAATTGACTTTACTAAATGGTATTTAAAACGCTCTGAAACACAACCGATATTTCATCTGTACAAAGAGGGTGAACAACAAACAACTAATGATGTAAAACCACTAACAGAAATATCACATAATCCAAACGAAATTTATAATTTATGGTCTAAACAGATTGGTGCTGTTAGTGTTATTGATGATTTCGCCTACTGGCAAGCGCATAATTATCATTACAAATCATCAAAACCAATATGGTTTAATCCAGAGGATAAAACTGTTCAACATATTCTATTTGACGATAATATACGTTTTGAAGACGACGGTTCAAATGTTATCGATTTACAGTATCTCGAAGAGAATGGATTGTCATCAAGCAGTTACAGTTTGGATATGAATGAAGTCATGAAATGGGAGAATATTTATTATGTACAAGCAGATCTACTACAGATTATACGGAATAGAAATTATTTTATTGACAAAGTTTGTGAATGTGAGACTAATTTAAATCGTGTACAAAGTGAATTACTGTAAAGATATCGATATCATTTGCACGTCACTAATTTGTATACTAATTCCTTGTGTGTTTCAAGAGTATCCTATTATTTTAACTAGAACATAATTGTTTTTTTTCATAGATTTGCTTCCCACGACAGTTTTAAAACAAACTTTTTTTTATTTGAAATTCTATATGCGTTTACACTTGAGACTTAAAATATAAAGAAAACGTTTGTTATTTTAATCCAGTTTTCCTTCTTGTTGTCGGTTGTATGTTAAAACACTTAGCGGATAAATCCTCTATCTGTAATCGAATCATTACACAATAAGCTTAAAAAGCAAATAAGTATAGTTTTCTGCACAGTACAACCAATGAGCAATAGTTTTGATATTAGCTGAATCCGATTACCTATTCAATACTTTACAATAAGTTGGGAGAAAACTGTCTGGCGCTTTTCACAAACCTATGTGAGTTAGATGTTAAGAGTAAATCAACAGAAAGCCTGTGCCTAACTTTTTTATTCAGTATTATGTCAATCTTGATGATCACTTCGCATATTTGATAGGTAGATTCTTACCAGCACTAAAATCTGATATCGAAATATTCACATTTGTGAAAAAGTATTAACGTACAACCTTGTGTCAAGTCGTGAACTAGACCTGAATACCCCCACTACTCTAATCAATGCACGTATAATGAATGTGGCACTACAGGGAGTACTTATACATCGTGTATTGGAAACAATGAAGTATAGCTCTATCTGAATAACATTCATCGAGAATTCACATTAATACAGCCTGTAATAATTAACTAGCAAGAATTTTTGGTACGCAGTGGGAGCTCGCACTTCTACTAGTAACTACTAATTTACACAGAATAAGTGCTCATATGAACTTCTGCATGGATCATCAGAAGCCAAATCGCGTCCATCCCAAGTGAAACTAGGACTTCATGCGCCGGACATCAGAGGCAGTACAGTATAACTCAGTAACACTTTATCAAAAAGTCTAGTGAGAAACCAAAGATTACTAATCGGGAACGAAAACATGTGAATGAAGAAATATCAACTTATCGTCGAACATATCTGTGAAGTTATACCGGACGTAGTCAACCTCGTCTCTTATACTTATAGCCTCCGCTTCAGTTAGCGAAATTAGCTAACATTGCTACGTCTGTAGTAGTTAAACTAGTTTGAAAAACAAGACATTTGGTTTTAGAGTAATAGGTGTTTATGATTTTGATTTTTTTTCCATGAATAAAATAAAACAAGTAGAAATTTCTACCTCATGTTTTACCTGTCTAATCTTTGTTTTACGTAAAATATTCCTTAGTGCCTTTTTCTATCTAATCCCTCTCCTTTAACAACTCACAGTTTTTCAATCTTGTCTTGTTTTCGTTTTGCTTTAACTTCCAAATTATGGTTAATTAAACGTTCACCCGTAATCGGTAGTTATTCTCAAGTCTGATAAATATATATGGACGTAGTTTTAACAAAGATCTGTAAATGTTCGGCACTTACCACCGGACTGGTGGACATTATTGTGCTGCCATGTAAATCTCACTACAAGTCAAATGCTCGGAAAGACGTCAGTTGAGACAATCACCTGCTTTGGTCTAGGGGTTCAGACAGTACCTCACACGATACTACATATTAATTAAGTCATTTCGTCTGCAGACGCGTGAACTACTAAACTATTCAAATATTCACTCATTTGATCCACTATCACCATATTTTCAGTGTAATATATAAATTATTTTGTGTCAGTCTCACATTTTTTAGCATATATTCTTCCTCCATTTATTACTTATTATTTAAAATCTCAGTCAGTTTTAAGTCGCTAGTGTATTACCTGTAGAAAGCTAACTTCCACTGCGATATTTAATACGGTTATTCTGACGAGATCAAGCCTACTACCTATAACGCTCGCACACCGATACCAACCGGACAACACACAGGTCTGGTGAGAACCAGGAAAACCTAGTCGTTGATGTATGCTGCATACCAGAAACCGGCTTACGATATCCCAGTTAAGTGCCTCGAATGCTTCCATCTGACAGGGGACCTTGAGGTACGGACGTCCGGCAGAGCTGGCGTTGATATCACATTAAACTCTAGAGCCAAGTCCAAATTATTAGGTTGGATTTTCACTAACGTAAAATTATATTAGAGTAAGAAGCAACCGGCCAGGTTAAGTGTAAGCAGTAATGGATTGTGGCCCAGACACAATTAAGGATAAATTCTGTCAACTAAGAGTGACCTTAAACACACGAGTTCGATAGATATAGTAATAATAATAATTTGCTTTATTTTTTTGTGGGGGGCATGTCGAGACCCACAGGAGAGTCATCTAGGTGGTCAATCGGGACTAGACGGTCACAGGTCGGCAAGTCAGGACCGGCTCCTTTAGCCTTGCGCAGATTATAACTTATTTCTTGACTGACTGGTTTCAACGTAGAACTTTACACAGATATGCAGCAGTTCGAGTTACCACAAACTAGCACGCAAAGCAAAAGAAGAGACGAAAGACAGATTCATAAGAGAGATCATAAACAGAAGTGTGAGGCGAAAAGAAAACTAGTAAAGAACAATAGAATTTCATTGGATATTATAAATCATAAAGAGTGAATGCATCTGCCCCAGCCATTGAGAACAATTTTAAGCCATATCACAACTCATCTTCAGCCGCCACTGGTTCTTACAATCCCGAGAACCCCAACCAGGAGGCCTACACCTCTCGATGTGGCTGGCTTAAACTAACTGTTATGGATTTCATGAAATGAGGAAGACATGTTTTGGTTTGACCACTACTAGCCCGTTTCCAACTTGATTATATGTCAGCTAACATTTCCCGCCAAAAGAAGGTGATGGCTAGGCAAGCGTAACACATGTCTTCACCATTTCAATCAGTAAGACTCGAAAACCTCGTCGATTGACTTTCCCTCTCTATCTAGCATTCGACGCTTAACCTCAATTATACTCACCCTATTACGCCACCTAATACGGAAGGTAGAACGCAGACACCTGTGCGTCAGTGGCACAGTGGTTAGGACTCTCGCCGACCATGCACATGGTCCGAGGTTCAATCCCCTGCCGACGCACACCTGATACCTATGGTCGGCCTGCAAAATTTGGGCTACCGATATCCACGCTGAAAATCCCATACTTGTACCAAAAATACAGTGAGGAATCAAGCTGTAAATCAAAAAAATAATAAATAAATAAAAGACGACCAGTCTTCTCATGTTTTCCACTTTCAGTGGCAATGTCTCACAACCATAAAGGAGGACACAACGAACTGCTGAGCTCTATACACGTCCTTTGGTCGACAGTCAGATACTACACGTACGCCAGAGATGGAGTAAATTAGTGTATGCCGAACGAGACTACTGTATACGTGTTGAGGTTTTTTCAGAGATCAAACCATTGGGGCTGGTACAACTGTCCATTGGATGACAGTCTAGGGGAGATGGCTAAACCCTGATTCCAAACCTCCAACGACTGGCGTATGAAGCTCACCGGAGCTCACTGGCAGACGTATGGACAAAGGGCTTATTGGATGCCCTGGATGTCTGGCCCCATTCAAAAAGGCGTATGAACCGGACTCCGGCTGCCAATGGATAGTGGACTCCCTACTCCACTCCTACTGCCTTGTAGGTCACACTTGGTTGTGTAAAGGCTAGAGCTGCACTCTCAAACAAAAGGCCGAGCGATGCTGGGGACATCACTCGTACCTAATTCCCATGAAACTTCATGAACTCTCTACAACATCAACCAAATTCCAGTACTGGTCCAACAACGTCGCCTTCGGTGGTTTGGCCATGTTCTGCGCCGACCAGATGACGATCTGGTCAAATCAGTTCTAAATCCCTCACCATTTCCATCTTGGCGATGTCGCAGGGGTGGACAGCTGAAAACATGGCTTGGTACAGTCAAGGCTGATATGGAGTGCCTGGGGCTGCAAACCGTCTACGGACTCCGTCTGTGGAACGAGAATTAGATAACCCTGTCGCAAAACCTTGCATCAGATCGCCGCGCCTGGGCGGCGATGATTCGAGATGTTCATGAAGCCGGCTCATCCTCCCGTAGGAGATAGCCGAAGTAAAGTAAGTAAGCTAGTACGACTTCTCAAATAAGTGAAGTGGTCAACACGCTCTACCAATTCACTCCCTCTCTTTAGGCTAGGAGCAAATGTAGTCCAGTCCTGCAGCATCGTCTTGCATTTGACAGGGGCGAATCGCATGCCAAACATTCGAAGATTGCTACTCAATGTGTTCAGAAGACTCTGAATTTTGTCGGCGTCTTCACCTAAGAGGACAATACCATCTGCATATTCTAAGTCAACATGATTATTCCCTGGTAACAAGTCAATCCCTGAGTAGCTGAAGTCAGCTAAGGTTAAATCTATTAGTACATCTATGATGAAATTAAAACAGAAATGGAAACAGTGGGTCTCCGTGACGGACACCGCTGGTTGTCACCACTTCAGAAGACAACTATGCGTAGGCTCTCATCTGACTGCATGAGTACGAGTAGAGTGCCTCGATCAATGCCTTAATTAGAGCGAGCACTTTCCTTCGGCACAGCCACTACCATAATGCTGTCTGGTTTAGTCCTTCTCCTGCTACTCAAGGACAGTATACTGCTACCACCTACCGACGACGTGAGTATATACAGGACTACCACTTATTCCGAATTAACTGTCTGGATTCCGACTATGTCTTGATGTGTGGTAAGTTCACGTTGCTATTGGGTGGTGACCATAAACGTCGTCCTACATACGTAAGTAAAATTTTTTCACCTGCTATTACAGGAAATACCAGAACTAGCTAAACTCAAGGCCATTGTTAGTTAAGTTAAGCTGAATATAAGCAGTATGCGCAGATGTGGATATCAGCTTGAGCACAGGGGTTCCAACTAATGGCTGTCGGGTTCGAGTATTCCAACACGTTCATTTTGAACAGCCATGACACAAAATACATGTAACTATTAGCTTGGTATATGAAACGTCTGCTCCAAGTAACTGAGTTCAAACAACCACCCTCACCATTTGGCACGGTTTCGTGTTACTCTCGGTTATTCACGAGCGATTCTTAGTTAGTTAAGTACAATTACTGCCCAATGCTGACGACCCCGAAATATACTTCCATCAAATTGTTGTTCTACCTTGGCTTTCTGTTTCTTTGACAAATTAATTAAGTATTTTGAAGGTGAAAGACTATAAACGCGTACTAGCTTATCATCGCATTTTATGTGCTGGCCAAAAACCTTCATCACTTCAAATACTTACTGATTCTATATATAATATGAACGAACGAACAAGCTAGTGGCACCAAGAAATGGTCTGTGAGGTAGGTGGAATGTTGATTAAGAATCTAAAGCGACGTCTGGAACGCTGCGTTGAGCACTTCGAAAAACATTACTTGGTTAATAATGCCAGTATTCAGCATTCTTCATCATAATGCTCTACGGTCATTTGGTCAACATTCTGGAAGCCGTCTCTGGTAGAACGAGACCATGAAACCACTTATCACAACTGCACTGAATTAACAAGTGGGGGTAGAAAGTATAGCGTTTTCCTCTGACTTCGCCATCAATGACATCCTAGAGACAGTTCTGAAATATGTGGTGGTGTAGATCCGCTACCTTGAGAAAGAAGCTATATCGTCTTACTTTTCAGTTATTCATATGGCGACTGTGTTTGTGACTGCTTCATCTAAATGCTAAGTATCGTTACAACATCGGGAGGACTATGTACCTGCACTCACCCTTATAGGTGGACTATCAGAGGCACCCGATAAGTCCGTATATTTAAGTAGTTTTTTTAGTGTTTGTGTTGTGGGTTAAATTCCTAACATTATACTGAAAGCCAGGGCCTAATACACCAATCTCAACCGCTTCTAGAACTACTAGTCTGGTTCTGAAAGGCCGGATATACATCCCTTCTATGCGCACAGTCACGGCTACGACTTAGCACCGTGGAAAGGACAGTTATATTATGTGCGCACCTTTCGGTATTTTACCACGGCCTTCGTGGGATCTGAGAGAACATGCGAATCAGTGGCTCGAGACGTTATCAGATGTGGCTGAGAATCGTAATCAATAGCGAACATGATGTAATTTGCTAACACCTCTTTTTGATAGTAATACAGTTATGAACGCCCCTCCGAAAGCTCTTGACAAGCACACTTGCTTTTATTCTATATTAGTTTGTTTATTAGATATATCACACAGTGAAACAGTATTATTTACAGTATTTACTTACTACCACAGTGCCCAAGTTTCACACATATTAATATTACTTGCTTTTATTATAATGTCCCTAAATTGTCCTATTTCTTCTTTCCCTATATTGTTTTCTTACTTTTATGTGATGCATCTGTAAGTGTTACCTATGTACGAAGTTTATGTTTCAGATAAATAATAAAGGCTAACCGAACCACCTACAAATGAGATTAAGACAGTCAAAGACTGAAAAATTTAATAACCAGCGTCAGCATTAGCAATAATAGTCTAAAAATACTTCGTATTCATAGCATTCCCAAAAATAACCACCAAAATGATTTTAAATAAACTAGTCACTAGTAAATTCATTGCAGCAGTAGAGATGGCTCAAAGTGTCTGCTGGTGGATGTTTTGTGAAACAGCTTTACTCAGTATAATTTTAACAATACTCGGAATTCAAGGCGTCATAAGCTGATGTGACATATGTGTAACATACCATAACTTAAACAACTGACAGTAATATACCCAGGTAAAAAATCGTTTATTTAAAACTTCCCATCTAGTTGAAAGATGGACTGATCAAATGTGCCACATTAGGATACTACAAAAGTTGCTGTTATTGTGAAGTCCTTAATCAGTATAATTTTATGTGCAATTCGGAAACACCATGTGCTCATCATTTCAAATTTTCTGAATAAACCAATAAAGTCAGCTGATAATGTTTCTGGAAATCACTAATCAGATTAAAACGTGAAAAATATCAAAAATATTTATTTTAGCAAAATAGTAATGATACAGTAATACAATTCAGTACTGTACATAAAATGCATGTGTGTAAATCAAGGAAGCAACTTTAGATCACCGGAAACACGATCAATTTCAGAAGCCAAACCTACAGAATTTAGAAAGTAATATGAAGAAAGGACAGAGATCAAACCTGGTCCTATACCAAGGACTGTTGCAGTACCCTCTGCAACCTGAGTGTGTCCTGCGTCATGTATAATTGAATTTACAAGACCTAATGATTCAGCTTTGTCGGATAACTTGAGCCTAGAAAACAAAAGGATTCATTGTTAAAACTGAAAACTTTCCACCCTTACATATCGTCATAACTGTTTACCCTGAGAACAATTTTTGGCTGTCCCTGACTTTCCCATGATTTTAAAATGCCAGGATTCTGACTAATAATCTCTTCATAACAGGCAAGCGTGGCGTGTGAACACTATGGGAAAAAATTGATAATCTGGGAGACCGTTCTACCTGAGCTGCAATTTTTCCGCACCCCATTTTGAGATCAGAGCGAACTATCAAAACCATTTTCATCTTACCAGGAACGTTCTTGAAATTAGTCACCTGTGATCCGACACTAGCCTTTCGACAGGAAAACGATTAAACGTTCACTGAGAATTTAAGGCACTTACCGTTCTTCCAAATCTTCGAAAAATAAACCAACCCGCAAAAACACCCAAACCACCAGATAAAATGGACGTTAGGATTGTGAAATCCATTGGAAAACTTTCTGATACGTCAACGTAATGCGTTTTAAGTGTTCACTAGCAAACAACAAATATCCCGAAATTAATGACATTACGGAAAGTTATAGTTCTACCAAACATTTTCTAGACTCACGTCATGCATACAGACATATAATGCGAGACCTTACAAAATTATATTTTGTTCAAACTAGTGACACAACAAGACCTTAACAAAAGGAATGCAATTAAAATAGAATAGAAATGAATAGTGTTCAAATTCAGAAAGAAAACTATGGTGGATTTGAGTATCCGAACAACTACTAGTTATCAAGTACATTTAACAGTCCCCAACTGCTGGTTTTAGGTAACATATCTAGAAAAATAATTCACGTTTAACAGCCACAAATGTGATAACCGACTTTTCAGCAGATTCTAATTTCACATTAGTGGTTGGTTGACACATATGTATGAACTAAAAGTATGTGCAAACGGTATTTTTAAATGAAATACTTTTTCCTTTATAATACGGTACGGACATCTTGTACCCACTGTGATGGGACCCAGTCCCCATGACATCGTTCTTTTCTCAAGCTATGAGCCACACATGTGTATGTGATGGTGATGCTATCCAGTTACCCAGGCTGATGTAAATGGAGCAGGATTCGAGTCCAGGAACAATTGACTAAAAGTCGAGTGCTTAAGCCTGTGAGCCGCCTCCCCGTTTGTTCCCACCAACATGTAATAGTATGCGAAACTCCGTGAGATACACTGAAACACAACAGCACACAACACAACAACAACTCAGCTATCCACATTTTCATTAAGTTGACGCTCGTGGTGGAAAGTGTCTATACTGATGAACTATGAGTCTTTAACTTGTGACCACTGGTCCAATATTTCTGTGACTCAAGTAAACTAAAAGTATGACTATTGTCCATTTGGTAACAGCTTTAGCAATGTCCACAGCTGGACACTGGAAACAAATACAGCAAGCCTCAATTTCCCTCTCGCGCATGTTAGATGCTGAATCATTAGTGACGACACAAGTACTTCAACTTAATCTGAATACTGAATTCATGAGCCTCATCCTTTCTTTTGATTTATGGCTTTGGACGCTATTTCCACTTCTTTCTTCCCGTGTTACCTTCTTTTCACGTAGGATAGGTTTTATACATAATGTACAGCAAACGTTACCGATCCCATTCCCTAAGGGTATAATGAGTCACAACCGTGGTGACAAACGTGGGAAGAAATCTTTAACATAACATTAAGTATTCCAAAACATCTCAGTTAAACTTACAAAATTACGCAGCAGAAAACATAGGGAGTGTTGAAATTTTCCGCCACCCATTCTGATGCAATTTAATTGTTACACCTAGTCGGTTGCCGATGACATCCGAGTGGAAAAGTGCAGGGTTACGGACGATGGCATGATATATGGAGACCTGAATTATCATAATTTGATGTCAGTTCACTTTATGGCTCAACATCTCAGGACAAAAAATTGTGAGATAGCAGTAATCCTTGTGTGTCGGTGGAAGCGGGAAAAAGTAGCCAACCACGCAGGTGGTTTGGAGTTCAATCCGCGACTGACGTACTCCTTAACCTCGCAAGGTCAGCAATAAAACTGCTAAAGAGAGAAGGTTGGGTATAAGTTTAGCAACGCCATCCCATAAAAGCAAGCACCGCTGCTCCCGAAACTTCAAAGACCCAGCTTGTAGCTCTACGTCCCATTAGGAATATAAAGGAATTAAAAAGTGGTAATCCTTGCAGTGGTTGCCTTAGAACTGACTTCTCTTTGGAGCAACTTAGTGGGTAGTTTTGGGGAAATGTATCAAACGGTCACCATTTTCCTCCAAACGTCCGAATATATCCACTAGTACAGCAGAATTACTCCAAAGTTGTTCATTCGGGTAGTAGTTGCGGTCAAATATTCTTAGTAAGAGTCGTAATCTCTAGTCACTCCACGAAATATTAGCGATATAACTACGGACTATAGATATTTCTGGGCGGCATTTCAGGTGGTCACTTGTAAGGCAGTTATCAAATAATACGTCACTGCCTAGCCTGCTATCAACTGATTATAACCATATCAAAGCATATTAACGACGGGTAACTCTAAACTATAACAGCCCAAAACGAAACTACCTAGTAAATGAATTGATCACCTTGACGAATTTTTGAGGACCCCTGTGAGAAATTATGGGGACTCTTGGAACACATACAAGTGTATTATCTTATGTTACCACTTTTTAACATTCCATTACTTGTATATAGATAATTATTTCGAATTATACACTCCTACATCCGGAGCATCTGATTGGGCGGTAGAGGTACATCTGGGACAAAATACACAAATATCCGGCATTTAGTTGCCTTCCAAAAGTGAAGAAACTTCGACGCTTCCTTTGGAAGTCCTTGGGAATGCAACTTTCTGCATCCTGTAGCCTTTGGTCAATGCAAGCAATTGTTTCATTGCTTAAGCCAAATAGGCGCTGTTTTGCCAAACGTAACCACATACCCGATTGGCGTCTTACAACACCTAATCAGACAAAGTGCATGTAATCTAATGGGAGACTACTGACCATATCAATTGGCAGTTTCTCAAATACGGATCTCACAGTGGTAATCGACATCATCCTTATTACTAAAGCTGCTATTTGTTCTGCGGCAGCTGTTATCACTGAATACCATGCGTCGTTTAACATGGCTTCCAATAATGCAACATATGCCACACCCTTTCCTAGTGTTGTTACCCGCTGTAGGTGACATCAGCTCTTGCAGGCTCATCGCAGGTGACATTGTTAAGCCGGAAGTCGATGTGCCTATCATCGATTTGCAGAACATGTGCATATAAATGACCCATATCAGTGACCACTAGCATTAAAAACGTGTTGAAGTCGGACGGTTTATGAAAACCACCAAAAACTCCTATAAGGATCATATCACTGGGACACGGTTCCACCATTCTACCCAATATCGACCAAACTTGCTGTGTACTATAGTTAAATAGTGACAATCCATCAGCATTCAGCTGCAGACTCATGCATTCAAAAGATTAAAACTGACACCAACAACACAGGATAGGCCTAAGTGTAGTTTGCAAAACAATATGATAGTAAACTCCACTACCAATAAGAGTTGAGGGGCACGACTGTCTAGTTTCCGGAGGGTGTCTTATATATTCGTTGGTATATTTGGAAGATTCCGTTTGAAGAGTCGCATTATCTTCTCACCAACCATGGATAAATTAGTGGTCATCATAACCTTTAAGACTGTCACCCTAACGTTCTGCCTTCGAATTGACTTTTGTTGCGTTATTGCGAGATTTCTCATGAGGCGATCGGGCTCCTGTGACACCACCTTATCAATCATCACATGCAAAAGAAACCCAATTGGTTAGGTGATTTGCATGTCAGTATGCACGTTTTCGACTTTAGGAGTTTCGTCTACAAGACATTCATTAGCCTCGCCGCTTAAATCAGGAAGTATTCTTTTGGCAACGCCATTAAGCAACTGCAAGTTCAATCTTTAAGTCCTTCTATACACTGTGGATCGGTAACATCTTTTTCAAACCTATAGGTTTACATTTACAGATACATTAGGTGCTGTCTCTGATTTTGCAGAATCAGCTTCGACTAACCATCTTTCTCCTATGCGTTTACCTATCCGAACTGCTGGGTTATTGGGACCTTTGACTAAAGTCTGGAGAAAACGCGTGTTAGATTCAAATGGGAAACATGAGAAAGTGTCCAGTGGTCCGTGCTGTTTCACGTCCTCACAAATATGAAGTAATCCATGGATATTGTATACCATGTTTTCCTCCCCAAATAATGACCTAAAGTTCCCAACGAATTTCAATAATAAACCCTTCACGTCATCTAGGTAATAAGAAGAATAAGCCGGGCGACTTAAGATGTAACATGACAAGAATAAATCCAAGAAGTTCTCATAAAAGCAAGGTGGTAATACGTCTTTAAGGTATACCACTCCTAAATATAAAAGAAAGAGCCTACACTCCGTTGCTTTCCAATGGTCAGCGTCGTCTAATGTTCGACACTTACGCTGGAATTCAAAAGGAGTCAACTTGTGTGAGCTGAGTAGTCTGCAGCTAACAGTGTTCAATATTGTAGTATGCATGCCATCTGCCCTAGATGTGGCCATCGATTTCCACAGGCTAATCAACTTACGAACTACACCTAAGTATATGAGACGCATGCTATCTATAGGGTATGGTTCGACATTAGCTGGTGGTCTGCTGTCATTTAGCGTATTAGTGATGCTTAACGGAGGACTGTTAGAGCTCATGTTACCTGGAAGATATCGGAAAAACCGTTAAAAAACGGATTCCTGCAGTCTAAACCACTTATACGCTATGCCTAATAATAAAAATGGCCGGTACTCTTGTAGTTGCAAAATAAAACGTATAACTACGCAAGTAATTACTTGGAAAACTTCGTAAGAAAAAAGGGTGACAAGCCCACAACTCACAACAATGGAAATAACAATGGTGGATTCCGCCGCTTCGAAGGATTTCAGTGCAGTAAAAGATTTCTCAGGGAGGGGCCTTTGGCGATGTATTTAGATAGTAAAAGTACATTTAATTGATTGTTTATATTAAAAGAGTTTATTATTTTAAATCATGTATTATTAATCACTAATTAAGATTCATTGTAACGCAATTCTAAAAAGTTAACTGTCATTGGTTGAGGAAGTACATCAGGGTTACTCCCATTGTTTGATTTGTAGCCAATAACCGTTCATCAGGTTGCCCCGAAAAGTCTGCAATGCGCCCTAAGTTTTCCTCGGAATCTGCAATGTGACCAAAGTTTGCCCCAAAATACCCTAAGTCTGCCCCAATAAGTCTGCAATGCGCCCGAAGAAAATGCTAACTGGGTAACTGAGGCACAAGGTCATATTAACAGGAATAAAGTACTTCTAAGGCGTCTGAAGGGGTTCTCATCACTCACACTTGGTACTAATTTACTTTCAGCATCTACTTTATTATCCTAAAGTAGACATCACACTAACAACACTTACAGTATATAGAGGATAGCGGCACAAATGGCTTATGGAGAGGCTGAGCAATTGAAGGGCACTTACGCACGCTGTGATTGGTTAATGTTGCGGCTAATACATACCTTACGTTACTGAGGCGGGCCTTGAAATAGCAATAATAAAAGCGGATAGACATAATATTTTTAAACTTAAGGGAACAAGTTAACATGCTTATAAATTTCACAGGTGTGAGAAGCATTAGATCCACTTACAAAGGGAATATTACTGGGTAACTTAATCAAAGAAGTCGAAAGTTTGAAGATTTTATCTCTTTCAGTTAGTTGTAACGGATGGATAAGAATCACTTGTATAATATTTGCTTTTTATGGGGGAGAAAGTATGACAAGTGATTTGGAAGTCACACAATTCCTGAAATCTATCATGGAATATATGGACGACTAATCTATAGAATTTTTTATTAATGATCCTCCCATCGCCTTTCTTATCTTAACTTCCTGTGGCGAAGTACAAGAATAGCGTCCCAGGAATCCGAACGCTCAAAGGACCTAGAACGCACGCTAGTCGTTGGCTAACGGTGCCTGTCATTATCACAGCTGAAATATCAACCCTATTCATCAAATAAGGAGCAAGTTTCGCCCAGATAACGCTTTTAATTACTGTTTAGACAATGTGTTAACATCTCGTTAGGGTTATAATTAGGGTTAAGGCGAGTATTGGGGTCAGGGTTACGGTCATAATTGGGATTAGGGTTAGATTTACGGCAGGATAAGGATTGTCATTTGGGTTAGGGCTAGTGTGAAATTTAGGGTTAGGGTCAGGATTAAGGCTAGGGTTGCGATTAAGAATAGATTTGTCGTTTATTTCAACTTGTTTTATTATCCTCATTTTCCTTGAATGTAGTCGCCAATGCTCTTACTGAAACCATTGTAACCTAACCGAGGGCTTTGGAGAGGACTACACAGCAATGGAAGAGAGATGAACAATTCACAAAACAGCCAATCTTCAGTCACTTTGGTGAATACATCTACATAAACTAGTCCAACTTAGCAACTGATATTCTTCATCGTAACTGGGACGTATTTTTAAGTGATGTCAGAGAAAGATAATCCGTTAAATGTGTTTTCATGCATTTTCTTGTGAATAAACGTCATTTTTCGCGCAAAAATTCCTCATTTCTATGATTGCCTGGTTGAAGGTCACTCGTGTGTTCGCATATCTTGGGACGCTATTGTTGAACTTTGCCCTTCCTGTTTATTCATATTATTTCAAGTTTTTCTTAATCCATGTTTACACTACCATATTTTCATACCCGAACTTGGTGTTTATTTTGTCATTTTACCATTTCTACTTATCTGATCCCTGATTGCATAAACAGTTATTCATCACATTAGTTCTTATCCAAACATCCTGTCTATTTTGTTATTTCTACATTTCTAACCCTTAATTGCACAATGTCAATCCTCTTAGTTATTATGATGATACTTTGTTTGTTTTATCCATCCCCCTGTTTATTATGGCATTCTGGTTCCCAATTTTAAGTTTTATTAATTTGACCCTTGACCGGAAATTATTCTGGAACTTTCCCGTTCACTTGATATAAACACACGAATGTACAGCCTAGATGATGGCTTCGTCGAAAAGAAAATTTTCTTCGCTGCAATTGTGTTCTTAATAAATCCTATAGAATTTCACCAACTCTGTGGTTGTTCCTTGCTTTGTTCACATATTCAGTGCGCCTAAGATTAGTTGTTCACCAGAGGTAATATTAACTTACCTGATATGTATACATCCTCAGATATTTCTCAATACGGCAGAAGGGATTCGAAGGAATACAATCTCAATCCCTGCTTGAAAAGTTCACATCCAGTTTCTGCGAACGGATCTGGTGGTGACGAAAACTGCAAAGATCGGTTCAACGCCACTAAAAACGGAGGCAAACTGATACAGTTGTTGCGGATTGAGTGTTTGGTGGACTTTATGATGACTATGATGCAGCTATAAAAAACTCTACAACTGTGATTTTTTCAGTGGATTGTTAATTACTCTTTTTAGTGTAGATTTGTACTCTTTCATTCTGAGTCATTTTTAACTTGATTGATTATTGTTTCCTTACAAATATATGCATTTATGTCTACTAACTTTGTCTCTTTTACTTATCATTTTGAGGACATTGCATAGTTAACGAGAATGATAAGCAACGTATTAATACTTATGTGAAATGCGCCAGTCTTAAACTATTATTACTTCATCAACGCGTCATAAAGCCTCGCGCAAAGTGTTTCACTTGCGTATAAGATTAATATTCAGGATTGTTGAGAAAGTGGCCGTAATAACGAAACATAACCTAGCAAACGTAGGTTCTATACGCACACGACTTGTACTGGTAATCTAGGCACTTCAAGTACACTATGCAACGTATATCCCACTTATCATAAATAGTCTGTAATTCTTATGTTGCGTTTAACACCACTATCTCGAGGGAAATCGTTAGGTAATAAAGAGAAAACTACATTACTCTTCTAGTGTTATCATTTAGTATCAAAAGTCTCTTACATGATCACATCAACAATTAGACTCGTGCATTAGTTGACAACGTCACTAAACTTCATTGATTATTCTGTGATCATAAAATACTGTGACTTATTAGATAGGCTTTTGTTGTGCATATCGCCTGTTTAAGATTTACTAGCGAAAGCAATTGCTCAAAAGCGATAACAGTGCCTCCATAGTGACCTAATTCAACAACGTGTACATATAACATTTTACGAATATTACGTCTTCTACACTAGCATCACTTTTGCAACTCGGCAAACACTGAGTAATAATAGTGCAAAATTTTTAAAACAGTATTTATTTCGATAAATATATTAGTAAGATCACAAATATTTCATCATTTACACAAATATTATCGTCTTTTAAACCCAATTAGAATGTCTTAATGTATTGAGTGATTGCGGAAGTGAAGACCATAATCTGGAAATTATTAATAAAAATTCAGTCAAGAAATGATAAGTTGAATAAATAAACTTAAAATACAGTACCTACTAGATAAATGACTGTCTCCTCACCGTTATCTGACGAAACAACCAACTCAGTTTCCTTTATTACTGTGAAATTTGGTAAAGATCATAAAATCAAAGTTACCTCGATATTTAATAATCATTTACTTGAAATGAACCACAAAAATCAGAATGAATTAGCATTTTCTATCATAATTGACATTTTTCAATGAATTCTGTCTTTTCATACGTACCTCAGCATGTAAATTCGATGAAAAGACAGCATTTCAACAACACACTGAAAGCGACTATTTTTCTCACTTTGAACGCGTTTTTTCGCTAAAATGAGATTTTTAAAATGCATCTCTGTCGAAAAAACCACTCAAAACAATGTAGAATAGCCCAAAAACAACACCACGATACCACATTAAAACTGCAGCAATCAGCTGATTTGTGCCTCTATCCTCTGTAACAGGCAACCAGCAGGCACACCGTAATGAAAACAGAACACGATCTGCGCAGGAGAGAGTTTGTTCAGCGAAATTGACTTTTAAAAGGTGCGGGATACAGTTTTACTGAGCTTCAATAATGTTTAGGTTCTGCGATTCCTGTAACTCCTGGTCCAGGCAGTTGACTCCCTGGTGTCTTCCTGCAAGTAGAGAAAACAAAACATTGATTAGTGTTACAATATGGGTTTTGTTTCTCTTACACTGCTCCCTCCTCTGGGGGCACTGTCCTCAGTGACCAAGGATGGAATTGGGCAGACTGCACCTCCAACGGCTGGGACTTCATACTGACAGCTGACGGGTGGTGGTTCATCATGAGAGGGCGGATTATTGGATGGAAAAAGGCGATGCGGCTTGAGTTGGTTATAGTGAGCAGGAATAATGTCGCCATTCGGTTACTGAATATTTTTCAGGAAGTAAGTGGCGGGTGGACATATCCGCACGATCTTGAAGGGTCCGTGCCATGGGGAATAGAATTTTGCATTTGGTTTAGGAGGACGGTGAAGCCAAACGTGATCACCGACAGCATAAGTTGAACCACGAGAGAAACGGTCATACACATTCTTCTGATGGTTATTTGAAAACTTTTGTTGCGTGAGCGCCAGATCGTAAGCAATTACCGAACGGTTTCGTAGTTGCCGGACATAAGCGATATGATCAATCTTTTCAAGGGGTAGGGTAGGGACTTGGACTTCGATGCGAAAGCATAATTTTCGGCCATACAGAAGTAACGCGGGTGAGAAACCCGTGGAGGAGTGCACGGAAGAACAATAAGCCAGGAGACATTGAGACAGTATCTCGTCCCAAGCGTCAGTGGATAAGCGATCGAGAAAAGCACGTGGGATATTCTTGAGTGTTCGATTGGTACGTTCCACCAACCCGTTAATTTTGGGTGGTAAGCAGTCGTGCGTGTCTTCCGAACACCGAATATGTTGCAGATGTGATGAACCAGTTGACTTTCAAAGGCGGCATCTTGATCTCAACACAGTGAATGGGGGGCACCAAAAAAAGTAATCCAATTGTCAATGAACGC